TAATGTAATGTAATGTAATGTAATGTAATGTAATGTAATGTAATGTATATATGTATGTATGTATGTATTTTTCTAGAGTTGCTGAGTGCGAGGGCCGTTTGGCCGGTTTCTAGGCTTGTTCATCCGCTTCAGTAGTGCTTGTGCACGGGGTAGTTTGCCAGCCAACATCAGAAGGGTTTGCCATCTCCTCTCAGAAGAAGTCGACTTCTATGGCTGCATTGTCCTCAGCATCCGAGTCTGTTTCTGCTGTGTGGCTGGGGTTCATGGCAAGTGCAGAAAGCTGCTGGTTCAGAGCTTCGTGTTCATCTAGCTCTGTGTTGAAATGGAGCCGTTTTGGCGTTGGCCTGGCAGAGATTTCATCTTGGGCATTCGAGGTGGATGCTTGGCTTTGGCTGCCTGAGTTGTCTTTCTTCTTGAAGAACTCACTGAGCGGCGGAGAGCCCTTGGTGGATGCACCTTTGCATGGTTTGTGCAAAGCCTGGGTGGCAATGAGACGCTGGTTGCCATCAAGGTTCCACTGCGTGCCACATTGATTCCCCCCACGCTCACCCACTTGCCAAAGCGCATGTGTGGGATGACCTGTGTGCTGGGCATGGTACTCCTGGTTCACACAGAGGCTCTGGATGAATGCGGTGAGGGCAGCTTCATTCACCCTTTTGTGGATGTTGACACCACATTGGGTGCATTTCAAGTATTTCGTGGTTTCGACCAGCTGGTGTTTGCAGAGGTCTCGATATGCTTCCACAGCTTGTTGCGCCACTTGTAGCAGTGTGCTGCCTTTCAGGTCAAAGCCCACATCATCAACCCAGCTGGAAAGGTGTATGTCTGGGTGTTGTTGTTTCCATGGAATTAGGGCTGGAGGCAGGACCACTTTGGCCAGAAGTGGGGCTTGGGGACAACCCGCAGGTACTCCATGTTCAACATGGAAGAATGGGGTCATCTCTTGCTCGGCAAGGATTGCTTTGGGACCCGTGTACAGCTGCATTGCAAGTTCCAAGAGCAATGGAGGGTAGTCCAGCCTGACTGCTTCGTCTTGGAGCTTGTTGAGCTGGATTGTGTCATAGAACGTTGACATGTCCATGAGGACTGTGACCCCACTCTTGTGGCGCGCTCTGTGCACCTTGTCTCAGCAGCCTTTCCAGAGCCACATGTAGTACGCAGGCTCCTGGTCGAGCTCGATCATGATCCATGTCTGCAGGAAGGCTTCTTTGCCATTCATCAAGCAGTGGCTTTCTCAATCTGCACCACACGCGCCAGAGCACTGATGTTAGTGTGATTGGCCTCTCTATCTTTTTCTTTGGCAGCATTACCGCAAGGTGCATCCGTAGTTGTGTAGGCAGTTCAGCCTCCTCTTCCATGGTCTGGAAGAGTTTGCCAGCGGAGGGATGCGCTGAGTGGAAACTGCATCTGGTCCACTGGCCTTGTCCGGTAAGGCCTTGAGGATGTGGTTGAGCTTGCCTGCCGTGAGTGGTGGCAGTTGTTGCGCTTGCGCTTTGGCTTCCTGACTGAGGGAGGTTTTGGGCTGCGGGTTGTTGTCCTGTCTAATAGTCTTCCCCAGTCTTGCAGTCGATGCTCCATGCGATTTTGCATGGGTGTCTGTCGGTATGGTCTCTCCCATGCCAGTTCACTGGTCTTTAGGCTTCTGCACAAACCTTAAGGCCTTTGTTGTATCCTTCTTGGAGCCATTGTTTGTATTGGAGTGTGGCTTCTTCTTGTGCCATTTGTTGGGTCTCCCGGCGCTGATGCTGCAGAGTCTGTTGAATGAGCTCAGCTGCATGTGGGTCCCTGTATTGATGCCAGCGATGACAGGTATCCAGAAACTGCGCCCACATAGGTGGTCCAGCCCAGTGTTGATGTACGTCCCGGATCATCTGCATGAAGCCATGGACTGGACCTTTCTTCATGGTGGCCGGCTGTTGGATTGCAAGATGAAACCTGGCCTTGAGCTGATCCCAGAAAGCTGGTTTTCCTTTCTTCCAGTTGTGGTTTGCTGCTTGAGCCATGAGTGGCTTGTGAACCGCCTGCAGATTTGAGCCTCTGCCCTGCGGTGCCCATGGATGCTCTTGCAAGAGATATTGTTCTGCCTTCGAAATCCAGTCTGCCCACGCTTGTGCTGGTAGGTGGTCCAGGGCCTGAAGTGGATGTCTGGGACTTGGGGCATGGGTGGGAAGCGCTGCATCTGTCTGTATTCTTGGGTGGCCTCTTCAATGTCGAATTGGAGTTTCAGCAAGGCATGTGGCCTCCATGGAACCGCCCATTCTGTTGTGAGGGCAGTGTTGTGCTTGCCAGAGTGTTGCGCATGATGGCGTAGTCAATGACATTGCCTGACAGCACACTGCAGTCTGGCGCCAAGATTCCAAAATGGAATTTGGCGGGGAGGACAGCGCTGGCCAAGCTGTCAGGGTGGTTCTGCCAGTCGCCAATCACCGCGTATGGATGGGTGGTTTGTTCGAGGATGGCTAACACCTTGGCTATGATGGTAGCATTGGTTTCACTCTGGAGCGTCTCTCCTGTCTATGCCACAGGCAGGGTCAGCAAGCACCAGAATACCTCCATGTGTTCCAGAATTGTCCTGGTTTGTACTGGCTGGCATGCCGAAGATGGTGCGTCCTCGAATGGTAAAGTACTGACGCAGCTCAGAATGCCTTTGTGGGTCGAGATGGGTTTCTGCAAAGACGTAGATGCCTGAGTTCCTGCTCCAGTACCATTCGATGACCTGTCGACCCATGTTGGTCACATTGCCAAAGTAGAGCACATTGAGTTCTTGTTCATACCTTGCCTTCAAGGGGCCAGGATGCAAGGGAGGGTCAAAATCGGGCTCCTCAGCCGGTGGCAGCCCTTGTAGCACCTGCTGTGGCGTCTTGAAGATGTCTGCATTGACCGCCCAAACTTGGGTAATTTGACTGGCCAACTTGGATGTCACATGTGGCAGGTGTGTTGGCACCGTGCCGTCATCAGCAATCCACATCAGATCTCTGTAGATGAGGATGGCAAAGAAATGGCCTGCTTGATGTGATTGTCCTCGGTGACAAATGAGCACAGCTGGGACAAAATCTGTTGATGCTCTGGCAAAGCCATCCAAGGACCGTGGCATAGTGAAGGTGCCATACGGATTGAAGGGCTTGCTGTGCTTGGTCATGATGCCATCAATGCAGGTACTGCGTGTGACGTGGCAGATCAGCACTTTCTTGTCATCCATGAGGTACTGCCCTAGACCTTGATTGGCCCAATTATTGATGAGCTGCTGAAAGGTGACATCGCCTGGCCAGTCGTCCGGGTAGGGCACCAGGATGGGCTGCTGCACATGATCTGCTAGGTAGCCCCCTTCTTTGATCTCAGCATACCTATAGTGGAACGCTCTGGATTGCGAGAGTATAGCCATAGGGAGTTCACAAAATGACTTGCATCTCCTTGGATGTTCAGATCGTGCTCTTTCCACAGCGCTTTCAGACCTGGTAGAGTCATGATGTCCACGGCCTCAGCAGTGTCGAGGGACTCCTGGACTGCTGCTTGCAAAGTCCCCCACGGTTGGGTGCTTGTGGCGCATATCCAAGTGAAGGCTCTCCAGGGCGCATTGGCGTAGCACCTGGCACTAGGGTTTTCAACAGCCATTGTGAGGTTCTGGAGGATGCAATCGGTGGAAGTAGCATAGTCCTGCATTGGTTAATTTTTGGCTGTAGATTCTGCAGAGCTCTGAGTGCTCGCTGTGCACCTCCTCTGATATGTACAAAATCTTGCGCATGGGTCGGCCGACTACCGAAGGGTTCAGAGGTGACTTAAAGTAGTGGTTGGCTTGGTTGCACTTGTAGAAAACTGCGCTTGACTCCATTTCCATTGAGTGACATACCCCCGTCATTGTGGATGTGGAGTGTCCCCGTATGGTTTGTGGTAGCAATTGTCTTGCGTGTCTCATCCCTGTCACAAGTGATAATTGTCTGTGCCCCTGGTGAGCCTGAAGCAGCAAGGCAAACCGGTTGAGAAAGTGCTGCTGGAGATCATCATCTAAAAGTGACTGCTGTTCAAACTGATTTCCCCTGATTGAATCTTCTGTCCCATCACATGACCCCCTGTCATCTTCAGGTAACGGAAAATTCCACCCCTGCGACGTGTCTTGGTCGAGAGT